TTTTGCGGTACGCAGGCCTCTCACTGTTGTGGCCTCTCCCGTTGCGGAGCACAGACTCCAGACGCACAGGCTCAGCGGCCATGGCTCACGGGCTCAGCCACTCCGCGGCATGTGGGATCTTCCCAGACTGGGGCACGAACCCGTGTCCCCTGCATCGGCAGGCGGACTCTCAACCACTGCATCACCAGGGAAGCCCTTCAGTAATATATTTTATGTAACCCAAGATATAAGAATATTATCATTTCAACATGTAATCAATATTAAAATTATTAATGAGATTTTTTTATACAAAGTCTTTGAAATACAGTATGTATATTATTCTTACATCACATTTCAGTTCAAACCAGTTAATTTCAAATGCTGAGTAGCTACATATCATGAGTGGCTACAGTATTGTTCAGTGAGTTTAACTACCCCACACTGCAATATAATTATTAATTTTATTGCAGTGTGAGGTAGTTAAACTCACTGAACAGTTGATGGTTTAATTTCCTATCTCTGGTATAAATAAAATGTACATTCCTGTCAGATTAACTATATGTGGTACCCTGAACTTAAGCTTCTACTTTCATTAATCTGTGCTTTTGTTCAGCCTTTGCTCATGCCAATCCTCACCACTAAAAATGGCTCTTTCTCATCACCAGTGTAAAAATCACCTATTCTTCAGGGCCCAACTCAAATACAGTTTCATAATTTATTATTTGAAACCATTAATGTTTGGATTTTTAAAAGGTTATTTATATATATATATATATATATATATACTGTATTTTACTTAACACTGCCAGCAGGCTATGGGACAGCACAACCATAATTAGACACATTGATATTTCTATGGTGAAACGTAAGGATGTTCAGTTTAATCAATCTATATCAAGACTATAAGTAGCCTCACTCAGATCAGGTAAAAGCATTACTATCAAATAAACACAAGTTAGGTCAAGTTTGCCACTAAATGTGTTGTGAAAAACTGGGTTTTCAGAGCTTTAGGGATGGCAGAACTGCAGTTAAAATTATGAACATGCATTACTTCTCCAGTGAAGCCAGCTCTAGCTGCATGCGCACACAGGGTGCCTGTGCCTAGGAACTCCTTTACTACTTACCTGTAGCATGTGTTCTGTTCTGCTTGTTCTGCTCAGCATTGTGAGATGCCTTATCTACTGAAGCAAAGAGAGTGTTCCTGCGCGCAAGGGCCTTATTTTCATTCTTCTTAGTAACTTCTACAGTGGCAGCCTACCACTCTGCCATTTATAGAGTATACCTCAGTAGATATTTCATTTTTTAAATTTTATTTGTAAAAGTGTTTTAAAAGTGATTAAAAGTCATAAATAGAAGAATGTAATTTAAGAAAACAAGTTAATAGTATTTGAATGAAAATACAGGAAAGACTACGTTCCATACAAATACTGTAACAAGAGTTTTGAATAACTGCAAGTTTCTTCGTGATTTTCTAGGTTATAACTAGATAATTACATTAAAATGAAAACAGCAATATTGAGAGTAATCTTGTTTGAAAAATAATCACTTTTACAACTTTATATTCTTTATTAACAGGGAGAAGTAGGAGACCAAGGAAACATTGGGAAGATTGGTGAAACAGTAAGCTTATTTTATGCTCTTATCTTCAACTTTTAAATCATCTTGTGAGCATTTTTAGGAATCATGTTAGCATGATCTTTGCTTATAAAATTCAGAATACAAAATACTTATCCACTACAAATTTAAATTCATTGGTGATGTGACAAATAAAACCTACTCTACAAAAGAGAAATGAGGGAAAACACAGATACTGATAGTTTTATCCAATACAAATTACATTTGTGATCTCAGGAACATTCTTGTATCTAATATTTGGTCTTTACATTTAGTTCTGATCATTTCAAACTAAATTTGACCGTAACGTTTTTCATGATTAAAACGCTACAGATTATCAAACCATAAAATATTATAATAGGTGGAAGATAGTTTTCTTTGTATTTGAAAGATTGGAGTAAACCATGAGGTAAGTCATTGGGAAACATAATTTCTTTCCTCAAACGTTTGGCTTGTTTAAATTTACATTATTGAGGAAGTAGGAGGCTTTATGTTATATTTGAATCAGGTATGTTAGGGGTAATTTTCTTTTTTTCTATGGGACAAGTCAGCTACAATATTCTCTAACAAATGAACCTACATAACATATAAAGTGGTGAATTAAATTAATGAAAGGCAAGTGACTTTATCTACAGAGTGTGCTGGGTTGTCACAAAGAAAGTCATACTGATTAATAACAATATTTATTTAATAGGTTAAATGAGCAAATATAATTTTCTATAACCTGTCTTACAACTTAAATAAAAATAAATTTTCTTAAAAATTGTTTCATGAGCTTAAGTAATTAAATATATTTTCTAGCCTGGTACTAAAACAGCAATACATTTCTGATACTCTTAATTTTTGTCACTAATTATTAATAAAAATAGGGAGATGATCCATTTAGTCTTAAAAGATCATTGCCATACCATTTAATCTTGAGTCACTAGAAGGTGAATATTTTTTTCCTTTTTTTTAACCAAAAGGGAAATTTCAATGGAGTATTTATATCAATTCAATTATTCAAGGCTTCTCATCAAATATGAATGTAATCTGTATTTCTCTGTCATTCAAATTTCTTAAAATTTAATTTAAAGAAATGAAATTCTGCCATTTCTGAGTGACAAATTGGTTAAAAATATATATAAACTAAAATTTATAGCCAAACTTAAAATAACAGTGAAGAACATCTTTTCTTAAAATAACACATATCAAACTTCTAAGTTTTATTTGCTTAATAATGTTGGACTGGTTCCACATAGTATAGGAACCCATCACCAGTGCTGTCCAAAGAGGAAATGGACTATTTTGGCAAGTAGCAGATCTCTGTTATTGGAGGGAAATTAACAATTATGGATCATTCGCTGTGTGCCAGGCATAATGCTATGTGATATTTTATATTGTGGAATTTCATTTAATTCTCAAACAATTTTAAAAGACACACTTTGTTATTCCAGTTTTTGAAATGAGGAAACTGAAGCACAGTAAGTAACCTGTTCAGAGTTACATAGCTGATCAATAGCTGAACTAAGATTTAAACCCATAGCTCCAAACTCAGAATCCAGATCTCAAAATCCAAAGCATTATACCATGCTGGGGATTTTTTTTCCAGCTTTGCTGAGGTATAATTGACAAATAAAATTTAAGATATTTAAAATGTATGTGATGATTTGATACGCATATATATATATTGATATACTGTGAAAGGACCCCCCCACTTTCATCAAGTTAATTAGCATAGCTGGGGATATTTTAATATTAGCTGAAAGCCACTTGGCCTAGATTTTATAGAGAGGTTTTAGGCATCAGATAAGTTATGAAACAAAAGGACCTTTCCAACTTTGAGGTTCCATCTTCCGCATTAAGAATGGGAGATAAAGGCTTTTTAAAAACTTCAGTGGTTATATTGAATTAATTAAGATATATAAAATGCCTGAAGAATATTTTTGACTCTTGATAATTCCCAACTTCTATTTTATCGTGTTAATTTCAGAAACTTAGAAATATAGTTCATCTAATCCAGAGTTCTGTTAAAACTCTCAAGAGATATGGGAAAATACGATTGCACTTCATGATGTCAGTCTTGTAATTTGGGGATATCTAAGGTTAGTTGTAATTGCATAGCTCGTTTTTATTTTTCCCAGACTTTTTGTATGGTCATTTAATTCCCTTTTAATAGCCTCCACCAGTTTTGTTTCTTTCTAGATTCATACAAATTAGAACCCAGTTTGTGATAGAGAGTGCTAAACACAGTGGTCCCATCTTATGTCTATATACCTCTTGCATTTATTTACTATAGGCAAAGAATTAATTTCTATAAATGTGCCCTAAATAAGTCTCTAATTTCAAAGAAATTATCCTCTATGTTCTAGCATTCTTTTAAGAATAAACCTGGAATTATCTCACCTTAATTGCCAGTCCTCTGTCTTTAATTCTCTAGGCTGAAAGTATTTGAAGAGCTGTAAAAGGGAAGAAAATATACTCTTTCAGTATTGGTCAAGAGACCAGAATTAAAATCAGTATATAGGCCTTATAAGGGAACAGACATTATAAGGGATAGACATTATAAGGGAACAGCTTCTTTTGTAGGCAAGAATATTTTAATAGAATTCCTAACACTCAGACTCTTCCATAGAGTGATTCAACACCTCATCCTTAGATTTGGATGACTTTCCGCAATCATTTGTTCAGCAGATATTTATATTTATATTCAGGCACATTCATTGAACATTTGATCCCTGCCTTCCTGAAATTTGTAGTCTGTCAGAGGTTTGACAGACATTAAATAACTAATCACATAAAATATATAATTATAAACTGTAATACATTCACTAGATGAAAATTTTAAGAGACTGACAAAGTTGCCAAATTTAGATGAGAGAAGACTGTTTTGAAATGCCGTATGAGCTGTGACCATAAAAAATGGTATGAGTTAGCTTGGGAAGAGTCGGGGGGAGAAAAACTGCTCCTGGAATATGCAATATAACATTACTTCCCACCTGTGCCCCTTGCCTTGCTTTAGACAAGTCACTTAATTTCTCTAAATATTTGTTTTCTCAACAGTAAAAGTATGAAAATAATAACTACCTCATGGAGTTTCTTATGAGGATTAAACATGATAAGGCACTTAAAGCACTTAGCACAGAGCTGGTCACATAGTGGAAACTTGATAAATGTTAACTGTAATGGCCATGGTGGTGGTTATTCTTATATGTGATGGTTCTAAATGGGAAAGCATTTAACTGTTGTGAGGAACTGAAAGAAAGCCAGTGTGGATAGACCTTGGTGAACCAAGGGAAAAGCAGTATTAGGTGGTATTAGTTAAGGAGGCAGGAGCCGAATCATTCAGGACCATGTTTATTATTTTGGACTTGGTCCTAAAGTAGATGGAGAATCATTGAAGTATTCTAAGTAAGCCAATGACATGATTTAATTTGTGTTTTTAGATCACTCTGTAGCAGTGGATTGGGAACTTTGAACATGGTTGTGAGCAGCAGAAGTAGAAGAGGGTAACCAGTTAGGATGCTATTGCAGTAGACTAAACGAGGGAGAAAAATGACGGGCCAGATGATGGCAGTGGAGATAAGTGGATGTATTTGAGATCTGTTTAAGGTGACAGTTTGGACAAAGGCTGCAATAAAAGGGAATGATTCTAGTCAGTCCCCAGCATATAATAGACCTTTGATTACTATTTATGATTATCAGGAGAATTCTGGAAGCGTAAGGAATTGGTATTTATGATGTTTAAGGATAATTCCAATTCTAAGAATCTATGACTCTTTTCTAAGAATTGTAATGTTTTCTAGTCTTCCTCTCATCTGCCAATTTGGCTTCTTTTCTCTGGCTGTCTTTCTGGAGTTGGAACAAACAGAGCTAGAATAAATATTTTAGGGGCAGTGGATCCACAGCCTTCTCCATGAGTGGGATAACTTTATGTTTTCTTTATTTTTGATGATACTCAAAACTATGCAGGCTTTTTTCAATAGAAGGAAACTTGGGTGTCTTTGGAAAATGATCAGCAGTCACTCCCAGGATCCTTTTCTAGTCTGTTATTTTAAAGCTAAAATTTGGAATTTTTTTTTCTTTAAGTGGCCTTGATTACATTAAATTCAGATGCCGTTTTTCTGCCCACTTGAAGAGCTCCTCATGATTCTCCTATACTCTGACCAGACTCTCTGTATATCTCTTAAAATATAATCCAACTATTTGATTTCACCTCATTTACTCCTTAATTTATCCATTTAGCAGATTTCATAAGTGATCTACCATGTCCTCTCTGTTATTCTGCCTGCCCCCTGGTGTGCTAGTGTATAGTAAATGACTGATGAACAGAAAGGAAGAGGAAGAGGAAAGGCCATGCATAATCCTCAAAATCAGGTAATCCAGTTCTTATTATAAAACCTTTAGAATCAGAGAACTTCTGTTGGCTGATTCTAAACTGTATTATAACCAATTCATTCAAGACCAAGTAGAGGTGGAGTCAGAGGAGGAAATTAAAAGAATTCTATTTTTTGAAGACCTATTATCTCATTTAATCTTGAAGCAACCCTTGTAAGATAAATCTTACTGCCATTCTATAAGTGAGGAAACTGAGATTTATTGAAGTTATGTGATATGTTCAAATTCACAGCTAGTAAGCAAATGTGAATTCTCTAATTCCAGTTCTAAGGTTCTTTTCTCTGCATCAGGAAATCATCAGTTTGTCCTGTTTTTAAATGGAACCTTGAAGTGCATCTTTGTGAATCAATGGTTAGAAAGATTTAAAAGATTTTGAAGGATCTGGAAGAAAATATTTTAGAAGTGCTCAACACAAAATCTCATTTGATACAGTGGTTAGTTTTGCTGCTTTCTCATAGCATTACTGTGAAATTATTATCAAACTTGATACAAGCTGATTTTATTTAACAAGTTCCATTCTTTCTTTCATTAAGAGGAGAATGGTGGCTTTATGTGGACATACCTAAGTCATAAAAAGTGACTCATATTTCCTTGAGGAAAAGTCCCAGACTTGATGGCACCATTTAGCC